TTTTGTTTTAAATCTCAATAACAACAATACTGATATCAAAGTGGGAAGTAAGACACGGATTAAAAACAAAATGAGTATGTAAGATTATCCGGAAACAAATGGCAGGAAGGACACAGGTTCTAAGTTTGTTTTCATGCCGTGTCCACTGGCAGGTATGGGTATTTCTTGTTTCCTGACTTAATCAACATCCACAAGGGACATTTACCTCCACTTGACTCTCCCAGTCTAGAGAGGGGTCCACAACAATATCAGGGTAATCAGGCCAGACCTGTGGGCAGAAAAATGATCAAATGAGATTCTACAAATCCCTTAATTGTTATCAATAATCAATAAATATTGATTATAAAATGAATGGCAGAAACTCAGAGACAAAAAACAAAGAGTAAAAACCACACCCACAGACACACTAACAGGGTGCCTGGCCCAGGGTGAGTCTTGCTGGATCAACACAAAGCTCATACCTTTCCCCAGACAATGTCTCCATTATTAGGATATCTGATGAAGACATTGTTCTCCACACCCCGGGTGAAGGCAGGATAGGGCTGTGTCTCATTGCCAGAAATGGCTGGGTCCTGCAATCAGAGCACAAGGCAGGTGAAAGTTAAGACTGAGGATTACAAAGAAGGTGGGTGGGAAAAGGGAAGTCCCCAGTTGTAATTTCACTGTAGAGTTCCCTGACTCCCAGAAATACATTTATATTAATTACACTTTTATTTCTCTCCTAAAACAGGGGAGGACAGACATTCTAAGGTGATCTCCATCAAGCCCATCCATTGTCCCAAGCACAGCCTACACAGTCACACAAACTAACCAGGATAAGGATGACCCGCATCCCATTGCCCTTCATGCGATTGATCAGGTCTGGAAACCCAGAGAACTTGGGGCTGAGGGTGAAGTCCAGCTGCCTCTCCATGTAGTCGATGTCTGAGTACTGCACGTCCTGTGGATGGTATAAGAAAATGTGGCTCCTGGTTGGAAAGTTCAGGCTCCAGCAGTTACTACAGCTTGCGTCTGGTAATTTCAACTGCTAGGTATGCCATATTGTAGCTTTCAATCATTGGGGATTCACTGATTTTTAAGTATTTGACTCAAAAACAGAAAAAAAAATCATTTCAACATCAACAAAAAATGTATGATGAATATCACAGCCTATCTGTACAAGCTATTATAAAAAATAACTAAAAACAGCTGAAGCTGGGCAGTGGTGGTACACACCTTTAATACTAACACAAGGGAGGCAGAGCCAGGTGGAGCTCTGTGAGTTCAAGGCCAGCCTGCTCTACAGAGTGAGATCCAGGACAGGCACTAAAACTACACAGAGAAACTCTGTCTCAGAAAAAAAAAAAACCTAAAACCTAAAAACACTGTGTAAAAATATAAATAAAATTACTATAGGAAAAGGTGTTTGACTTTCTCTATGAGTGTGTCTTGAGATCAGTCATGTTCGTTCATTAAAAATAATGTCATTTATTCACTGTGCATATAATACAATCATAGGTCTACTATAAAAGAATCAAAACAAAAACTGCCCTCACTGTAGAGGACCTAGTGTTGGAGATGATCAAATGCAGAGCTCTCACTGAGATGTTGTATTACAAAGGTGGTTCTCAACCTTCCTGATGCTGAGAAACTTTAGTACAGTTCCTCATGATGTGGTAAGCCCCATTCATAAAATTATTTTTGTTGCTACTTCATACCTGTAACTTTGTTACTCTCATGATTTATAATGTAAATATCCATGATTTCCAAAGGTCTTAGATGTGAATAGGCTGTCTGACTCCCCCACAAAAGGTCACAACTCACAAGTTGAGAACTGCTTTGTTACAGGAAGTACATTGCACTAATGCAACATAGAAAAATATGTATAAAACAAACACAAAGTGTCACAAAATGATTTATGGTTATTGGACCTCTGGTTTTGAAGTGAATGTGGCTGATCCTATATGCGATTTCACTACAAACTCAATACAGGTTTCCAGGATGGAGAGCATTGTGCTGTGTTGAGCCCAAGGAAGCAATCCACATATAGGACTGGTTTAGTGAAATAGGTTTGAGTTTCCTTAATTAAACAAAACTGGTATTGGAGTGGGGTTTAATTTTCATGTCACTAAGGACAGTATAATCAGGTATATTGAAGTCAGTCAAAAAGCAGAGGAAAGCCTGGTACAGGAAACCTTAGCTCCTCTGTGTTTTCTAAGCCACCACTGTTATGAGGGTAATGGTCTCCCCTGAATCACTGTGGATAGTCTAGGCTCAGTGTGACATGACATGAGAAAACACAGTGTGCCATTTTAAGCCACACTTAAATCTGACAAACAAATCCCCAATAGATATACGTACATAGGGGATCTGCTTAGCCACCATATCATCATACAAGCTGGAGATCTCAGAATCATTCTCATATCCATAGCGACACAGCTGGAATCCCAGGGACCAGTAAGGTACCATCACAGGCCGACCAATCAACTGGAAAACAGACAGAAAGTGTTATAATGTTAGAGGAGAAGTTGGATGGAAACTGGATATGAAGTCAGAATATTTTACCCAATTTAACATCAAATTCAAACCCAGAGAGTAAGTGGAGGGGTGTGTGGAGCTCCTGGGACACACTACAAAAAACCTACAGCTTCTCAGAGCACACATTCCAGGAGTTCTGGAAAACCTGCTTTTATTCAGATTCCTAGATATATAACTTAGATACTAAAAACACACAACAAAAGGGGAAACAGCTAACTTCTAATACAGCCTCTAGGTCTTGCTGATTGTGTGACCTTGGGCAGTTATGTGACATGTCTGTGTTGTTTCTTTACCTGTTAATCAAAGCTAAGTGTAGGAGCTATCTCATGTTGGTTTCACTGAGTAACTTAGTAGGTGTAACACCCTCTACATGCACTAAGTAATACACAGGGTAGATATTTCATACAAGTTTGCTGATGTTGTCACCAACAATGTTTATTATTCCCCATGATTATGACTGCCACCACCTTCACCACCAATACCGTCATTGTCTCTGTCCCCATTCTGTAACTGATGTGACAATGCAATGATGTAACAATTTCCATCATGATAACTCCCACCACAGACATAAGCATCATTACCAACAACACTAATACCAAAAAATCACCATACCCACAACCACCATCACTAACATGAACCTCACTTTCTCAGCTCCCAGTATCAATTCCACTACAAACACTTTTTCATGGTCACCTCATGTCCTATCATCCTCTCTACCATTATCACCATAACAGTTACCATCCTCACAATCACTTTCACCAATATTACTATCACTACATTCAATATCACCATCCCTCACCACACCATCAAAATCACTACTACCATGGCTCCACCAGCACACTAGCCCACCACTAGTTACCACAAATAATCTGATACACTGCAATAGTTGAAGAAAACATAATTTTAATAGTTACGGGAATATATCCACTCTCCCATATTTCATATTATAAATTCCCATGAGAAAGACCATCAAATTCAGGTACCATATGATAGTTACATTATATGCAATCCTGTATAGCAGGGTTGGAACACATTATGAGTGTATGAACAAACACACATGTACAACACACATATTTCAAAAATGCTTTCCTTCCTACCTCTGTGTATTGCTGAGTGACAAGCTCTGGAGTTGGGCCCAAGAACACATAGAAGTCCAGAATGCCCCCTGTGGTCCTGTATGTTAGGGCAGGCAGGGGCTGGAATGTCACATCTGGAAACACAAGAAAATGTCAACATGATGAAATCCTTCCTGTTGAGAATTTTAGCCCTGGAATCCCCACCTTCTCTCTATTCAACTATAACATACTGACAGCTGATATTCAGGAGTATATACATTCTAAAGCAATTTCAGAATCATTGGCATACAATAAGAGGACAAAGCTTCATCCTACCCATGGCATTGCTGTTCATCAGGAGGACTCCATGGGCATTGCCATCCTCCTCTAGCCCCATGTAGTAAGGGTGGACACCATAGGAATTCTTCTTGTACTGAGAGGCATAGGGAAAAGGAGGTTAGGAGACTGTGTGCATTTGAAAGAAACTCAACAGAAACTTGATTGCTGCGTTGAGTCAAACTTCTGGTAAGAACAGCAGAGGAAAGGGGAACTTAAAAAGATCTGCATTAGCCTAGCAGTAGAAGTTGACAATCACGTGGAGTCTGGAAAAAAGAAGCACAAGACACCTAGCATGGATGGAGGAGACAGAACGCAGACACCAAGGCCCTGTCCTTACCCCCGGGGGCTCATCCCTGGAAAACATGCCCCACGTGTGCCAGTTCAAGTCTATCTTGAAGGTTGTGTGCTCAGTCTCCCCAAAGCCATAGATGTATGTGGAGGGCAGGCGGGTGGAGATGCGGATGAACATGTCATTGAAGGTGAAGCCAGGGAGCTGAGAGTCCCAGCTGCAGAAGGAAAAGGAACATTTGCAAAAGGAAATCAGCTTCTTAGTAGCTTCCAGCAGCTACCTTTGTGAGGACAACAGAGCCCTCCATTTTTCACAAACAATCAGAAATAGGGTCTCTCCCAAGCAAAATAAGCAAGGATACTGGCTAAAATCGTCATCACTGCTAATGTCCCAAGTCACCATTAAATCCCCTACACTGTATAACTGCTTCCCTTTAGTGTTTTCCACATCCGTGTCCAATTATTTTTGTCACCTTACCACTCCAAACTCACTGTGTCTTCTGCTCTTGACCCCTGATGCTCCACTTCCTACAGGTGTCCAGGGCTGTGATATGAGCACCTCACACTCCTGCTCACATGCCTGCTCATCTCTCCCGAGAGCCTCCCTTGGAGCCTCCAGGGCTGTTCTTGTTCTAAGTCCTACCTAACATCCCTCCTATGTCTCCCACATTCATACTCTTCGTCACATCAAGGGAATCTCACTATTGTAACTGATAAATTTCCTCTAGCTCATGACATATATCATTCTATCACAAATGTTCCTTTACCCAGAACTCCCTTCAGGACTTCTCCTAATCTCAGTTATATTTACCATCACCTCAGAGACACAATCTCAGATCATGGTATCTAAGGCTGCAAATGATCTCATTTCCATGATTTTTCCAGCATAGCAGTTGTTATATCAAATTCTTCTTCATAGTATAATTTAACTTCATTTAATGGAAGAAATAGCACACCTGTCTATGACCACTGTACAAGAAGATCACCTCATATCCGGAAGGAATTCAGCAAATACTCATTCAATAATTCCCACACACCTGTAACTGCCTTAGTAATCATTCTCAGAGTACTAAAGATTTCCTCTAAGAACAGAAATCACTTCCTCATGTATGGTGGTTAGATGAGATATCCCCTATAGTCTCAAGTATTTAAATACTTTTCCCCTTTTGGGCACTATTTGGTAATATTGGGAGGTACGGCCTTGGTGGAGGAAGTGTGTCATTTGGAACAGACTTTGGAGTTGAAAGGCTCACACACAGTTTGCTTTCTATTTCCTGTTTGAAGTTCAAGATGTGAGCTCTCAGCTATTCCTGCTGCCCTGTCTGCTGCCTGCTTACACTTCACCATCATGGACTCCAACCCTCTGAAGGCATGAACACAAATAACTCGTCTATAAGTTGTCTTGGTTTGGACTTTTTATCACAGCCATAAAAGGTAACTAATTCATCATGGATCTGAAAAGGGGCAGTCTGATGCTTTGAGCCAGGATGTCTTCAAGGACATTGAATCTGGTGAAGAATGTTTAGAAAAGCAGGAACTCCAAGTCAGACCAGGACCCACTTACATTACAGTGCCTGTACTCTTCCTGCGAATTTCAATCCCAAATGGATTCTCCTTGATGAGGACATCATAGAGACGGCCTTCAGGGGTGCTGGATGGAGCAGCAGGGATGTTCAGAGGCACTGGGACTTCATATCGACTGTGGTTGGGATCATAGATCTAGGCCAGAGAAAATCATTTAATGTAAAGACAAAAATATGGCATGTACATTATGATGCTTTACCAGCACGCTGACAGTGATCATAAATAACAATACTGCAAAACTAACAATATAATTGCATAACTATCAGTTCAATATAAATAACAATATAATTCAAAATAACTCGAGATGATGTTCAATTACCACTTCACAAAATATTAGAGGATTGAAACATCAAATCCTAACTGTACTGAATTGATAATCTATAATATGTAAATATGTCAAAACATGACATCAATAGTGTAAATATTCACAGTTAGCTGTCATTTCAAGGAGTGCTTTAGAATGAAATTGTACTCTAGACACAAATACCTCAGCATACTCTGAGCATGTTTCACAGAGTCTATAGGCTGAATGTTTTCTCTTCTTTTACCTCACAATACAGGACTTAACCAACATACCAGAGAACAAGGTTCTATTAAATAGCTTGATCTGGGTCATGGTTCAGTATTACAGGCTCTAGAACATTTCTTCTTCCATTTCAACACTGCTATTAACATGAAAAGTTCATTCTGAAACTGGTATTTATAAACATATGATATACTTATTTTGTGTGTGGATGTATAAGTGTAAGATATGAAACCTTTGAAATTTGGTGGAAAAAAACTAAATTTCTCTAATTAAAAACATCCCTTCTGAAAAACTGAATAAAGCTGAATAATTCAGGATCCATAAACCACTGTTGATCCAATAGTAAATACTAGGCATAGGAACTGAATAAGCCAAGGCTAATGTCATGAAACACTTAGGAATTCATGGTAAATCAGAAACAAGAATTCAGCACTCCTGGAGGATGTGAGCTAACACAAATTCTGCAGAAGGGCTTTGCTATTACAGGGAAGGAACAGTGAGATGGTTTCATGGAAGAAATACAGGCTGAATCTTAAAAGTTAAACAGCAATAAACCAACACAAAACTGACAGCAGGTGATTCTGGTAAAGAAACAATAAACAAAAGAAACAGAGTGTTAAAGTGGGATCAGAAAGACATGAGTATGATGGAAAGCACTACTGCATAGCTAACGGTTAGTGAGTATGAGTTGAGGCTACACACCCAATCAACTCCATTCTGGTGAAGACACACACAAAAAACAACACATTAGAAGATGGAGAAATCGAGTCCAGATTGAGCCCAGATTCTAAGGGTAGTCTAAGCAAAGCCACTCTGCCTTGATCACTGCCTTGTACTATTCCAATAGCATTTGAGTACTCACTATATATCAGCCTATGTGTAGGATTCCAATACTGCCACCATGAAAGACAAACCCTGTTTTATAGCAACTCACAGTCTAATAATGAATCAAACAAGAGAATAGCTAGTCCATCCCTAGTCCCTTTGGTTAATTAAACCAAGGAAGTAAAACAAATCACTTTCATGAGTATTTCAAAGTTGTCTCCTATTATTTTATTCAAAATCATACTCCTCCTTTTATATTGTCAATCACAAATCGACTCTATTTCCTAATCTTCATTATCATTACCTTCCATACATACACATTTGCATGTTATGAACATGGCAGTCATTCCTTAGGCATATCCCTCTTTTAGTTGATTTTACTGACCAAGATGGTCTCAAGGTCTCAATCACATCCCCTGTTACCCATCTTCCTTCTTATCCCTCCACCAAACTCATCCATAACTGTCCAGCCTTCCTAGTAGCCTCCTCTGCTCCCTCTCCATGTTTCATTCTCCCAAACATTTTCTTTATACACAGTGATTCTCTCAAATTCAAAATTAGGAGAGGTTTCACTATTCTCCCAGTCATATAATTGCTCTCTTCATTAGAATGTTGTTCTAGACTATTTACTAAAAACACAAAACTGTTTTTATAATGTTGTAACACAAGGTTGCACAGAGAAATGGAACTGAAAGGGCCCTGTCCACACCTGATGGCACACACTGTGTTTACCTTGAACTGCAGCATTTCATTCTTGTGGTAGATGACTCGGAGCTGCAGCTGATTCACGGGTGTAGAGGGGAAGGCATTGCTATAAGGAGAAGGCTTCAAGGAGATGTCGGCTGTGGCCTCATTCGGGTGATTCTGAACATTGCTGACTGTGTACAGCTCACTGGCAATGTAGCAATAAGGGACCCCAGAAGAGCTGGATTCCTGAAAAGAATTTCAATATCCTAGATCAGCAGAGATCTGGAGTTATCAAATAGATAAGTCAGTTTATATGGGGAAAACTATCACTTCAGTCACTCATGCCTGTAAGAAAGCAAGCATGGGTTTAAGTTCCAGGGCTCCAATCAGCACAGTAAACATCACATTCTTGAACTTCACACTTCTCAATCCAACTCAGACTCATCTGGAGCCTTTTCTTTCCATGGATTTTAATAAATCCAAGGGTGCAGGACTGTGCTAAAGACTTTGTAGGTTGTATTTCAAGGATTTCAGTTTCCAGGAACATCCTCAGCATGCTTACCTCCCAGATGCAGCCACGGGCAGTGCATTTGGCCTCAGTTGCACCATCCTCATCTGGGTAGCAGTCTATCTTCTCCAGATCCCTCACGTTGTCCCACTCGACTATGTATGCTTCTCCCAGCATGAGATGGATATCTGTGATAGTGGCCACCTGAAGGAATGAAGTTCATCCTCAGGACTAAGGATCTGAACCTTTCATTTTTGGAAATTCAGTGTAACTGGCATTTTTAGTCTACACTTGTGCCCCTCTTTTAACGATTTAAAGAGCACACTACAGTTTCCAAGGGTACAACTGTATACATGGGTTAAAAGACAGTGGCAAAAAGAAAATATCAGTACTCTCTCAAAACCTTACCTATTACATTGTAGAAAGAGATAGAAAACAACTGCTATAATCACATTTTTTTCATTCCTTCCCTGGACCACTTGACCTCTATTCATTTTCTCAGAAAGGCTTCTTCTCCTGTTAGCAAATTAAGGTATTTTTCTCATAACCTCCCCATATCATGACCCCTTTGGTGTGGAATGCCTAGAGAACAGGACAATAGGAGTATTGTGGTACCAGCTTTCTCTAGAATCTTATACAAATTACTTCATTTATTTTTATTTGGGGGGACGGGATTTCTCTGTGTAGCCCTGTCTGTCTTAGAACTCTCTCTATAGATCAAGCTGGCCTCAAACTCACAGAGATCTGCCTCCCTCTGCTTCCCAAGAGCTACAGTTAAAGATATGTGCCACCACCACCTAGCCTACCTCAATTTTTTTATCTCAGGTTTATCTACTAAGGGTATTACTGAGGAGTAGAAAATATCATTATATAATCTTCCATTTCAAATGTCCTAAGCCAGGTGTGGAGTTACAGACTGATAATGTCAGACTTCTGAGCCCTTTGGCTGCCCTGTTCTGATAGCTCAACTTGGAGAGCATCACCAAGACTAATAAATGCTTTCTAGGAAAACAAGGCCCTCTCTGAACACATTGCCAGCTGTCTTCTTTGTATGAAATGTGCTCTTCTATTTTTGGTATTTCAGATTCAAATAATACATTCTACCAATTAATATCTGAAATTTTCATGACTGTAGCATATTCATGGCTAGAAAAGTAAATTTGAGTTCACTTGCTGGGCCAGGGTTTCTTTCTTGCTAGGAGGGCCTGGCCCTTCAGCTTTCTCTCTACCTTCCTCTTTTTCCAACTCTCTTTTCTCTGCTTGGTTTTTTCCCTTTTCCATCTCTCCTAGAATAAGGGCATTGTCACTAGATCTAAGTAGCCACTTCCAGTCATTAGACAAGACAGATCTGAGTTCTGACAAAGTTCAACCTTGACCCAAATCCAACAAATTTTCAACTTTGAACATTCAATTACAAAAAGAAAAAAAAAAACCTCCAATCTGTTTTCCATCTCAGACTTCTTGTCATATAAAGCTGAGGAATCCCTGCCTTATTTTATGTGCATGGGTGTTTTGCTTGCATGCATGTCTGTGCATTACGTGTATGGCCACATAATCCAGAAGTAGCATTGATTCCCCTGGAACTGGAGTTATAGACGTTTATGAACCAACATGTGTGTACTGAGAATCAAACCTGCAACCTCTAAAAGAGCAGCCAGTAATATTAAATGCTGAGCTATTTCTCGATCTCCACAAAAGGAAAAAGCCGGTCTCAACTACTACATTTCATCAAATGAAATCAAAGCAGATGTTTTACATATATTGGATTAGACACCTTCTTAATTTTTATATATATTTTCATGTATGTGAATTGCATCTCTCATTACCCTGATCCAAGCAATAAAGAATTCTTTTAGTGATATGTTAAGTATCCTATTTTCTATTATGAGCAAAGCTTGTTTTCATATATGCATCCTTCAGATATCTTACACTTAGCAATAGTCACAACCAATCACACAAGTCTTCATTTGTAACTTTGTAATATATATATATATATCCTCTTTATATATTGTCATTACAAAATGTCAAATATTAATACACCATTTAGTAGAAATCTCAGTTGACTAGGGAAAGGTGCCTCCCAATGATGAGGAACTAGGGGAATGGAATAGAAGTCATACAGAAGGTCTGGATGTCATTATTTCTGCCAGAATAGTACTTTCCAATCACCATTTGAGATAGTTAGCTGCCCCATCAACTTCTTTATAAAATATACCTCGCAAATGTATTTATTACAGAACAGATAATATGTATTATTGGAGTCCAACAAAGGATAGAAACATTAAATAAATAAAGCAATTTAAATGTTTTGATCTCAGGACCCCTATCTCTAACTTCACCTTCAAGCACAAGCGATCAGTTTGCAGATCCTGTCCCTTGGATCCTGTCTCCACATCCAGTAAGATAAAAGCAAACACTGAGAGTAAAGAAACCAGGGACAGAAAAACTGGAGTCATGGTGCCTCACACTATCTCTACATCTCTACCTTCCTCCTTTATACTCTGACATCCCCACCAGGCATCAGATGTGCTCTGGTCCTTCAACTGCCCATGTAATCTTAGAAGTCATATCAAAATACATGGGGGTTTGTGAAAGTCTCCCTTACAAAAGGAATTCTTACCTTCATGCTTGAATTATAAGTGATTTGAGGAGACATCTGACTAAAGACACCATTCTGTTTAACTCTAGCATTGGCAATTTCCTCTGTCCCAAAGATTTTAATTTCCTGGAATGCCAAGTTATTGGGATCCTTGTAGTTTGGACTTGAAATGGTCACATTCAAATGGTTCTGAAACACATCAAGCAAAATTATGAGCAAATAGTGAGTACCAGGATTCCTAGGCCCTCAAATACCCCACCCTAAACTACATCCTTGAACTTCATTAAAGGCCTATCAATTTCCTTTGCTGGTACATGCTAATGGGGTACAAATTTATTTTTACAATGACCATAGAGAGAATGGAGGAAACAGACTGATATTTTATAGAATTGTCTTTCACAACCCCACATGATTTTCTTTATTATTATTGATTCTTTCTAGTAACATAACTAATACAGTTCTGAATCAAGTCATAAATAGCAGTGTATTCACTCACATAAATGCTGATATTTAAACAAATACAGCTAGATACACACAGAAAAACATATATAGTCATCTACAGACAAAATTTCATACAATATTCATAAAAATATGCACTCACTTGGGTGACAGAAAATTCACTGAATAGATAAGTGTTCGTGGTCACAGTATCTGAAAAAAGAAAGAGATGTCAGTCTGGCCTGGTGACCACAGAAGACAAGCTTCACCTGCCTTTCCTTAAAAATGACTCTTCTTTCTTCTCATGACTGAAGACACTTCACAAGATCTGTGTATCACAGTGCATTTATTCATTCATCTGTCAGCCACTTGGGCTGCTTATGGATCTTCACTGGTACAAATAATGCCACAGTGACTATGAGAGACCTGGTATCTCTGGGGCATACTGTTTTCATTTCTTTTGGATGGCACATACCCAGACATGGAATTTCTGTGCTATATGGTAGTTTGATTTTTTTTTTTTTTTTGGTTTTTCGAGACAGGGTTTCTCTGTGTAGCTTTGCACCTTTCCTGGGGCTCACTTGGTAGCCCAGGCTGGCCTCGAACTCACAGAGATCCACCTGACTCTGCCTCCCAAGTGCTGGGAATAAACGCGTGCGCCACCACCGCCCGGCTCTGGTAGTTTGATTTTAAACATGTGAAGGTATGTCTACACTGTTCTCCATAATGACTATGCAAATTTATTTTATGATTTGTTGCCTATGTTTTTGGTGTCATACTTAAAATCACAATACCATGCCCAGTATCAAAGAAGCTTCCCTGTATTTCCTCCTAAGTAGTTGCTGTTGACTCTCTTGTCCTTATTTTCACAATAGCTAAGATGGAAAAACAACAACAACATCTATTTACAGATGAATGAATAAAAGAATTACAGTGCATGAATTCAATGGAGTATTCTTTAATAATAAAGAAGAGGGAAGGCCTGCACTGTTAGAGCAGAGATGAATCTGGATCATATTCCACTAGGAGAAGTGAGTGAGACAGCAAAGAGAAACAATGTATGGTCTCTGTTCATACAGGAGATAAATGGCCCAAGTACAGTGGAAGGAACAGGAGAATTCAGAATCAGGTAGAAGGGTAAATGAGGAAAATCTGTTCAAGGACTATGAATCATGATACTAACAAGTTATAGAGAGCCAAAGCTGTCATTAATGGTGATGGAAACATCAATTAATGTTATGGTAACCATTGCACAATGCCTGTATGTGTGCAGAGTCTGTTGGCCACACACTGGTCTTCTCCTTAATGCTATAATCATGAGAGTATCCTTTCTAGTCCTCCCAAGGAAGTCTTCCTATGGGAACCTGTTTTCTAAGGTAGAGTTTGAGAATTCTTAGTGCAGTAAAGACAAAAGGGGGGAAGGAAAGAAGGAAACAAGAAAGGAGAGAGGGAGAGAGGGAGTGAAGGAAGGAACAAGGGAGGGAGGGAGGCAGGGAGAGACATAAAGAAAGAGTGTGCAGAAGCACAGAGATGCACATAATCAGGATTGTGTGCACTTGCTGCCTCGCTGACATGGGTGTGCCTTTCATATCATCAACAGTTTTCCCCCAAGGGCTAATGGAGAAGTAACTTATAATTAAAATGAATTACAGGAATAGTCTTGAAAATGTGTCTTTTAACCATGAAGTAAGAGCCTGTTAGACATGACTCGCCAAGGAGAGAATTCAGGAAAAGAGAGAAAGAGAGACAGAGACTGAGTCAGAGAGATGTTCTCCCTCCTCCATCTGAGGTTCGTCTATCATGGCCTCTGACCACTACATGCAGAAGCATGTGTTTTCTCTGGAAGGATGCTCTAGGATGCCTGGTGAGATTTCACCAACAGCTGAATGGCCAGCATGGGTGAAGGGGCAGAGTCAGACATGCAGGTCTACAAGGACCACACCCTCTCACCACACTCACCCTTTGACTGCCCATCATCCCAGAACAGCTCTCCTCTTGCCTCTTTGTTCTCATCCAGGGCAATGAGCAGACCAAGAGGGTTCTTCCGGCTGTGAAGAACAAGATTTACACAAGGCATAAATCCTTAGGGCTCAAAGGATTTTAGAAAATATTGCCACAATATTTCACATGTGTAAAGGATGGATGGGTAAAGGACTAGTCATTGATGACTTCTTCCCTTCAGAACAGGGCTAAGAATGCTAGAAGACACTGTCTCCAGGATCACTGTCATAAGAAAGAAATATCTCAAACCTCAGCAACATATGTCCAAACAGGAAGTCAGGGTGTGAACATCAGAATCACTACATCAGCCACAGTAGGTGCTATGGCAGCACTGACATACAGAGTGCAGACTATGAGAATAGGATGGAGTCTTAGGCAGTGGTGCTGTGGCCAGGCCACTAAAGATACCATCCTGTAAGGACTATATCAGCTGCTGCCACTAGATACGTTCTCTCTGCCAAGGAAATGTTTACTCAGAAACTCATAAAACAAGGTTGGTCAATATAATGGTAACTCTATATTGAGTGTCTTTGTTTTGGGTCATTTGTTTGTTTGGTTTTGAGACAAGCAGCTCAGACTAGCATAGAATTGGCTCCCTGACGCAGGCTGGCTGTGAATTCACCAACCTACTCCTTTGCCACTCAAGTACTAATTCTATTATATACTACTATCCCTTTCTGACTAATTTTACTTAATCTAATGTCTACTATCTTTTAAGAAAAACATAAAACAGCAGCTTCATGTGTGTTCCTCATGTGCACCTCACTGGCCTCAGGTTTCATATTGTATTTGTTCCAGGTCAACCTTCCACTACCTGACCACACCCCACTATCAACAAAATAAGCTGATTTCCTTTATAGTCCATGGATTGAGCTGTCATTGCTAAAATGCTAATAAATATAAAGATAAAACTACACAACTCCTAAATCTTACCATTATAAGACCCATTCAATACACTTGCCAAGCAACAAACAGTGAAAAGTGACACAATAAAAGATATGAGAGTATAGAGTGGCACTTCCAGAAATATGATAATAATTTGGAGGACCGGAACACTACAGTATATAATTTACACTGCTATGTAAAACATTATTAAGCTTGCAAGGAAGTAAACGACACGCATAAGAGACAGAAACAACACAGGAATACAAATAGAGAGCTAAAACCCAAAGATGCCAGAAAGCCAGACTTTAAAGATACTGTGTCAATCAAAAAAAAGCCAGACAAGGAATGTCATGATTTCATATTTTCTATTACTAATGAACACTGCAAATAAAGAAACAAAAATGTGAAGAATTGAAGAGGAATGATTGGAGCCTGAGATGGTTGATCCAATACTTCAATCCAATACCAGGGTTGAAGTATTGGAGGGTGGTAAAAAAAAAAAATGGGCAAAAACAACCAGTGGGTAGACATGATGAATGCATTACATATGGATGGGAGGAAATATATCAGTGATTTACTTCTAAAATTAACATGGGATAATAATGATAAATAATCAAGTAGAAAATAGAGGGGTGAAATGAACTAAGGGATAGGGGGTGGTAAAGCACTTGACTAGCGTGTTTCACAGACTGGCCCAGCATAAAGGGCAATGAGAGAAGATGCCCAAATATTGTTAGTAAATTGGATACTTTTGTACAAAGACATGTTTGGGATATAGCTGATCCATATGCTTATCAAGACACTGCTTTATTTATTTATTTATTTATTTATTTATTTATTTATTTATTTATTTATTTTGGTTTTTCGAGACAGGGTTTCTCTGTGCAGATTTGCGCCTTTCCTGGATCTCACTCTGTAGACCAGGCTGGCCTCGAACTCACAGAGATCTGCCTGGCTCTGCCTCCCGAGTGCTGGGACTAAAGGCATGCGCTACCACTGCCCGGCTCTCACACTGCATAATTTAAAAATGTGTGGATTAAAGAGTTTCTTCCATGACTCACAGTGTCACACTACAGCTTCCATGACAACATTTTCCTCCCCCAGCCTTTTTTTTTTTTTTTTTGCTCCATTTTTCTCTTACTTCTATTAAATTTTATTTTGTTATATTCTGGAGCAGAGGAGGAAGATGGTGGGATTTGGGAGGCATGATGTGAAAGACACGAAGAATAAGTAAAAAGGAAGTTGAAAACACACTGGGACAGTAAGGACATGGACTCACTAATGGAGGATTTCACACCAAGGACAGGGAAAAAGTAAACTTTTCATTTTTGCAAGAGAAATTGATATGGGTGTACAGAATAGGCTGAAGTTGAAAAGAGAGTAAAAAAACAAACTGGCATCGGATTATACACCTTTTCATAAAGTCTGCAACTTGAATAATTAAAACAGTGAGGCATTTTAAATTCTTATGATCAGGAAAAAAAAGTAAAAGATATACATTCCTAATGAATCCTTGTCAGTTGTAAGTAAATATGCTATTAGTTTCAGTAAAACTTTGGAACCAATATAGAACTCCTCAGTAGAAGTTAAGGCTATCATTTTGGAACAAAAAGTTACAAAGGGAAAGTGCTAACTGGACAGGCGAGTTTGTGCTCTTGAATCCCCTTTTGAATCACAACAGAGAAATGGCTCACAGGGGTGGGGGAAAAAGTGGAACACTAAAGTTTCAAAAGGACGTACCAGGGATGCGAACCTAGAAATGGGAACTGGTGGGGCTGAGCAGCAAACATGGGATAGACAGTCAGACAAGGACAGGAGGGGAACCAATGGACCGGAGTTGAACTTTCTCAAGATGTGAGACTTTCAGAACTAAAATTGCAACGGCCCTGGGAAAAGCAGAAGGTTGACTGCCAAAGCTGTCGCTGTCCTGAAAACTACAAGGGTTTATTTACAGAGGAGCAGGGTAGAGGAACTCTCCAAGTCCACCAGGGTGTAGTCTCAGTCCACTGCTTCTTAAGAAGAGGACAAGGAAAATCCAAAGGCAGAGTATGATATCTCTCTCTCTCTCTCTCTCTCTCTCTCTCTCTCTCTCTCTCTCTCTC